GAAGGATTGTCAGAGCCCAGCAGGTCGAGGATGCGGTGGCCAGGAGCGGCCACTGCACTCCAGTCTGGGTGACAGAGTGAGACTCCAACTCAAAAATAAAAATAAAAAAATAAGAGTCCTGGAAGAAGATTTTACAGCTGTTAGCAATTTGTACTGAATGACACTTGCTAGGGTCCTATAGCTAATTATATTATAATAATTATAAATATAAGCTAATTATATTTCAGATACCATTTTTGGGTTTTATAATATATGCCATTTACAAAACAATACCCCTGACCGATAGGTACCACCTACAGGCTTTGAGCCACAATGGAGGTAGTTCAGGAGAAAGGTACAAAGGAAGGTGGGGCCCCTGAAAATTGAAGCCACTTTTGGGCTTTCAAATGACTTGTCTCCACAAACAGTCAAGTGTTAATTGGAACAGCTTCCCCTTCTCCCATGCATCTGACAGAAAGCTAATAGTTAAGTGGACTTAGCAGCAACATATTTGTTCATTTCTAGTCATAACGGTAGTTTTCGCTTTATGACCTGTTATGAATTTTACATAAGCAGTTGTTACCACATAGTTGGACATATTAGAACACATGCCAATGACACAGAAATATCACCTTAAGAAAGTTTAAACACCCTTTTATGCTTGACAATGCTTCCTGTGTGATTTTATTCTACCAAATGGGTTAAATGTCTTCTTGGATCTCAGGAAACCTAAAAAAAAAAAAATTTTTTTTAAGGTTAGAAAGACCTTTTAAGAACCTGAAATTTACATGTTGAAAAGTTTGTTAAATATTTGTTTGTTTGTTTGTTTGTTTGAGTTGGAGTCTCACTCTGTCACCCAGACTGGAGTGCAGTGGCCACTCCCGGCCACCGCAGCCTCGGCCTGCTGGGCTCCAGCGATCCTTCTGCCTCAGCCTTCCAAGTAGCTGGAACTATAGGTGCGCGCTACCACACCCAGCTAATTTTTTGATTTATTGTAGAGATGAGGTCTCGCCAAGTTGCCCAGGCGGGACTCCATCCCGTGGGCTCAGGCAATCCACTCACCTCAGCCTCCCAAAGCACGGGATTACAGGCTGAGCCACCGAGCCCGCTAAGTTTGTTAAATATTAAATGTTAAAGGGTTTTAAAGCATGATATTATAACACATGATTATCGTTACTGCAAAATAGCTGCTCACTTAGCCAAAATGATAACTTAGAGATTTGAAAAGCAAAAACCTTACGTTTGATAGGAAGTTTCTTCTCTTAGTCAGTAAAAAGAAAGACAGCGAGAGGCCCATTGAATTTGCCTTTTCTTCCCCCACTTTTTTGCAGTTTCCAAAAGCCTCTTACTGTTTTTTAAAATTATAGTACCCGTTAGATTTTAGCTAACTTGACCATACATATGATTAATTTGGCATAAACCTTTAGCAACTTGCATTTAAAGATGTAAGTTTACTGACAACTTAAGTGCAAAAAGTATTACAGAAGTTTTCTATTTTTTTTTTCAGTTGCAGTCTCACTCTGTTGCCCAGGCTGGAGTGCAGGGGCATGCTGCTCACAACCACTGCAGCCTCAGCCTAAATCTGCTGGGCTCAGGCGATCCTTACACCTCAGCATTCCAAGTAGCTGGAACTATGGGCACGTGCCACCACGCCTGGCTAATTTTTTGATTTATTGTTGAAATGAGATCTTGCCAAGTTACCCAGGCTGGTCTCAAATCTGTGGGCTCAGGCAATCCTCTCACCTCGGCCTCCCAAATTGCTGGGATTATAGGCATGAGCCACTGTGCCTGGCCAAGTTGTATATTTTAAAAACATCTAGCATAAATGGTGTTTGACCAATGGACCAACAAACTTAGACAAAACATTTAAATTTTGAAGGCATTCTATTTTACCAGTTTTAAAACTGCAGTTACTTCCTAAAGATTGACAGATTAAGGCCAGGTACGGTGATTCAAGCCTGTAATCCCAGCACTTTGGGAGGCCGAGGCGAGAGGATTGCCTGAACCCAGGGGTTCGAGACCAGCCTGGGCAACTTGGTGAGACCTCTTCTCTACAATAAATCAAAAAATTAGCTGGGCATGATGGCACATGCCTGTAGTTCCAGCTACTTGGAAAGCTGAGATGAAAGTATCACCTGAGCCCAGCAGGTCAAGGCTGCGTTGGCCATGAGCAGCGTGCCACTGCACTCCAGCCTGGGCAACAGAGTGAGACTGCTATGCAAAAATACAATAAAATAAAATAAAATTGACAGATTAGTGTTTTAAGGAAAAAAAGACTGTTACTTTGATATAATGGCATTTTGGCCTAACATCAGTGTGATTGATATTAATGGTTAATTCATAGAAAATCTGACCTTTAGTAACTTCTGATTAAGATAGACTATATGGTCCAACATGGCTGACCAGAACCAAATAGTTGGCATCTATGTAAATTAAGAAGTTAATCTGGGTTCCAATGCCCTAATATTCACCTGGGGTTTGTTGAGGGTGATGGTAAGCTGGTGTCAGGCTCATGCAGAGTTCCAGGCCTCCTCGGTGGCCACCATTTCTTGAGCCAGGTGTTCCCCACTCCCTCCAGAAAAGGGAACACCCACTCCCCCAGTGGTCCTCTGGCCTGCACAGTGGACAAAGTCCTGGAATTCTAGACCCTTTGGGGGTCAACTATGCTCCAAGTGTCCCCACTGATTGCACCCATAGCAATGAACACCATCCCCCTTAGCAGGTTTGCTCTGACCAGATTTCTGTCGGGCAGCTGGAGGTCTGTTGCTACTGGCCATTGTCAATTGGGATGCCTGTTTTTGGCCTCTAGTCCTGCTGTCTTCCATGTTGGCACCCTTTTGCTTTTTTGATGTTCTGGCTGTTTAAAGTCGCAAAAGCTTCTGTAATTGGAAGTTTGCTATTTGTAGTTCTGAGTCAAGCCTCTGGAGTTGGGCATCTAATACCCCATTGTGTCACATAGATAGCATGCATCTTGTTTGCAAAGTAGTGAAATAAAACAAAAAATGCTTGTGCAGATGCAACTTCTAACCATTTCTGTTCTTACTTATAAAATAAAGTGAATTGCCATATAGTATTAAAGTGAAGAGTCCTGTTTCTAACCTAGACCTCATTATCTATCTTGTTCATATTCCTCAAAAACCCAGAATTTTCCCTTTGAACCCTTGTGTGCTGCATTCCTCAAAGGAAAATTCTAAAACAAAGCCAAAACAGTGACACCCGACATCTCTGGGGTCCTGGTGGCTTTTCCTGAGCTGAGTGTCCCCAGCCCTGCCTGAGGCTTCCCACCACTTCAGTATCTGCCAACATAGGACCTCCTGTACCTGTGTGCCTGTGACCTGAGGCCACAAACCAATGAGGTTTAATCAGAGATCTTCTAACAATGCCATTTAAAAAGGTCTGATGCAAAAACTTTTTACAGTGAACAGACTGCATGGACGTGAAATGATCTGTTCTCACCCATTTCCAGTTGAGAGCAGGCTGATTTGCTAAGACCCTTCATAAATCACTAAATTGGAGACCAGGCGCAGTGGCTCACGCCCATAATCCCAGCACTTTGGGAGGCCGAGGTGAGAGGATTCCCTGAGCCCATAGGTTCAAGATCAGCCTGGGCAACTTGGTGAGACCTCATCTCCACAATAAATCAAAAAATTAGCCAGGTGTGGTGGCACATGCCTGTAGTTCCAGCTACTTGGAAGGCTGAGGTGAAAGGGTTACCTGAACTCAGTGGGTCGAGGCTGTGGTGGCCATGAGAGTACCACTGCACTCCAGCCTGGGCAACAGAGTGAGACTCCAACTCAAAAAACAAAAAAAAACAAAAATAAATCATTAATTGCAGTCTAGAAGGTGCCAGAGGTTGGCTCAAGGCTTGTGGAAAAGTAGTTGTGAGGTATGAACAATCAGGTGACAGTGGGCAGTTCCCATGCCCCATTGTGTTACATAGAGAGCACTCAGCACTTTGCCTGTCTCTCAGGAAAAGCACTGGGCTTAGTAAAAAGTGACTCAACTTCCTTTCTCAAAAAAAAAAAAGCCTTTAGTGAAATTTGCATAATAAACAATGGTGTCATCTAGGACTAATTTTTAAAATTAGTGGCTTAAAATATACTACATGCATCTAAGAGCATTTTTTAATATGTATATTTTTGTATTGGTGGAGGGGATAAAAAGCAAGCAGCCCCTCGACTGGGCCCCGCCCAGTGGCAGTTTCTTGTTCCACGGGGTTAAGGAAGACTTTGAGGAAATAAAAGTGTTCAGAAAATCCAGGTGCAGTTGCTTTGTGTGTTGTGATGGGCAGGAGGAATGAGTGAAGTGTGAGGATCCCTCTCACCCTCCATCTTGCCTCAAACTATGTCCTGGAGCCCTGGGGGGTATGCCGCCTTCACTCCCGCTTCTTGGGGTTGTTGATGGCCACATAACGGTAGAGGACGACGAGCAGGAAGAGCGACATGCCCAGCATGTTGGTGGAAATGGCGAGCTGCACATCAGTGATCATCTAGGGGAGGACCTGGACCGGAAGTCCATGGCACCACTCAGCTAAGAGACTTTTTTTAACAGTTTTACAAGAATAACAGCTGAATGCAAACCCAGGTAAGGCTCAAACCTTTAAAAACAGACTCTCTTTTAAATAACATGGTTGCTAGCACTTGAAAATAAGAAAACCTTGACTGCTTAAATGCCAGAAAAAAGATTCCATCCCCATTCCAAGTAGAAATCCTTTCCTGCCCCCCTCCCCCAAGTAAAGCATCAAGAGCTAGGAAGGAAGAAAAGCAAAAGTGGAAACAGCAGAGACCAAGAGGAGACAGACAGAGGCTTCTGGTCACCACATGGTGGGTGATTGCTGAGCTTCTCATGCTCCATGTTGGGCGCCAATATGATGCTGGGTGGGGTGCAGCCCAAAATTCATGGATTCCTTGGCTCAACCCTAAAATGAATTTTAGAGTGGTCAGCAAAGTTTTAAAACAAAGTGTATTAGAGAAAGAAGAGGGGAAAGATAGACATGCTAGAGCTAACATGGACAAGAGAAACTGCATTTTTTGTTTTTACAATAGACCTGACATACCATACCAATGACTGATATGCTAAAGAGGGTGGAGCCCAGGAAAATGCTCAAGAAATTGGCATCTTTCCACCTCTGATGGGAGGAATGGATGGTCTTTCCAGGGATGTTTGCCAGACTTTTTCAATTCACAAGTTCATGAGCTAAAGAGGGTTTTAATATCATTTCTATGGCTTATTGATTCTCGGTTCAGGAACCACCTTGACGGAGTCTTTCTTTGGTGATCTGAGGGGGGCGGGATGGACTGGGAGTCCATGTTGAATTCATATTCCAGCCCACAGCTCTGTTCATCCTGCCTACAGGATGTCTGGATGCTTTCTAAAAAACTGTCTACAACAAATTTATCTATATCTAACCTGCACTAGAACCCCTGCCTAACTTCCAAGGGTGGCCCTGGCCCTTGTGTCTCGCCTGGCCTTGGGAGTGGGGTAAAGAGGAGAGGGATTTCCATCAGGAAAGAGTGGAAAACTTGAGTCAGCAGACAGGGAAGTGTTGGGGCAGAGTGAAGGGCACCAGGGACCAGGAGAACGAGGTTCTGGAGGCAACAGACACAGAGGGGAACAAACGTAGAGAGCACCAGAGACAAAGGGTACCAAGGGACGGGAGCACCAGGGAACAGGGGTACCAAGGGTCAGGAGCACAAGGGGCGAAGGGTACCAATGGTCAAGGGCACAAAGGGATAATAATACCCAGGTTGGGGACACCAGGCTCCAAGGGTAACAAGGGTCAGCGGCACCAGGTACCAAGGGTGCCACGAATTAGGAGCACCAGGGGTCAAGGGTCAGAAGCACCAGAAACCATGGAGATCAAGGGTCAAGAACACCAGAGGCCAAGGGTACCAAGGGTGGGGTGCACAAAGGGCCAAGGGTACCAAAGGTGGGGAGCACCAGGAGCCAAGGGTACCAAGGATCAGGAGCAGCAGGGACCAAGGATAGCAAGGGTGGGGAGCACCAGGGGCCAAGGGTACCAAAGATGGGGAATACCAGGGACCAAGAGTACCCAGGTTGGGGGGCACCAGGGGCCAAGGGCGCCAAGGGTAGGGAGTAACAAAAGCCAAGGGTACCAAAAGTGGGAAGCACAGGGGCCAAGGGAACAAAGGGTTGAAGCACCAGGGGCCAGAGGTACCAAAGGTGGGAGGCACCAGAGGCCAAGTGTACCAAGGATGGAGGTACCCAGTGTCAAGGGGGTCACCAGAGGCCAAGGGTACCAAGGGTCAGGGACACCTGGAGCTAAGGGTACTCGGGGTGGGGGCCACCAGGGGCCAAGGATACCAAGGGTCAGGGGCACCGGGACCAGGGGTACCAAGGGTGAGAAGCACCAGGGTCCAAGTGTACCGTGGGGCATGAGCACTAGGGGCCATGATACCAATGGTCAGGGGCACCAGGGTCCAAGGGTATCAAGGGTCATGAGCACCAGGGAGAAAGGGTACCAAGGGTCGGGAGCACCAGGGGCCAAGGATACTAAGAGTGGGAGTTACCAGGGGCTAAGAGAACCAAGGCTCAGGGGGACAAAAGGACAAGGTTGGGGGAGCAACAGAGGCCAGGAGTACCAAAGGTGGTGGGCACCAAGGCCAAGGATACCAAGGGTGGTTGGCACCCAGTGAAAAGAGTACCTAGAATCAGGGGGGCACCAGGCACCAAGGATACCAATGGTGGCAAGGACCAGGGCCCATGAATACCAAGGGTCAGGGACACCAGGAGGCAAGGGTACAAAGGGTTGAGAGCACCAAGGACCATGGGTACCAAGGGTGGGGGGCACAAATGGCCAAGTGCACCAAGAGTTGGGGGCACCATGGGCCAAGGGTATTAAGGGTCAGGGGCCAAGGATACCACAGGTGAGAGCGCACCAGGAGCCAAAGTTACCAAGGGTGGTGGCACCAGAAGCTAAAGGTACCAAGAGGCGGTGGCACCAGAAGTCTAAGGTACCAAGGGTAGTAGGCACCAGGTACAAAGAGTACCAAGAATCAGGAGCCATGAATACCAAGGTACCAGGGGTACCAAGCACCAGGAACCATGAATACCAAGGGTCAGGGGCACAAGGGACCAAGGGTACCCAAGGTGAGGCACACCAGGGGCCAAGGGTACCTAGGTTGGGAGGCACCAGGGACCAGGGACACCAAGGATAGGGGACACCAGGGACCAGAGGTTCCAAGGGCTGGGGGCACCAGAGGCCAAGGGTACCAAAGGTTGGGGGCACAAAGGGCCAAGGTTACCAAGGGTGAAGGGCACCAGAGTCAATGGTACCAAGGGTCATGGGCATCAGGGGACAAGAGTAGCAAAGGTGAGGAACACCAGGTGCCAAGGGCACCAAGGGCACCAAGGGCCATGGGCACCAGGAACCAGAGATGCCAAGGGTGGGGAACACCAGAAGCCAAGATTACCAAGGGTCTGGGGCACCAGGAAACAAGGGCACCAAGAGTTGGGGTACCAGGGACCAAGGGAACCAAGGATGTGGTCACTAGGGATACCAAGGGTGGGGGCACCAGGTTTCAAGGCTTTCAAGGGTCAGTGGCACCAGCAGCTAAGGATACCAAAGGTTGAAAGCACCAGGTGCCAATGGTACCAAGGGTCAAGGGCATCAGGGACTAAGGATATCAAGGACTCGGGGCACCAAGGACTGGGAGCCAGGATCAACCCATATCCTCCCTCTACTCTCTCCACCCTCAGCCAGCCCCTTCCCCTTCTGGCTGAATCACTCTGATGGCTTCTCTCCCACCCCTATCCACCTCCTCCCCTCCTGTCTCCTTCTGCTGATTTGCGCACCCTGAAAAGATTTATGTATGTATGTATGTATGTATTTTTTGAGTTGAAGTCTCACTCGGTCGCCCAGACTGGAGTGCAGTGG